ATGCCCATCTTCCTCTCATACGTAATTGGTGCTGCCAGGAGCAGACATTTCTCATTGTCAAGAAAAACCCTAAACCATTTTAAATGCCATTTTCTGAAGGTCTTTGAAAGGTTTGAAGACTATCTCAAATATATTTTTGTATATCTAGAAAACCTAACTTACCTAACTATAAATTCCATTATAAGTAACTATCTATAGTCTGTATTCAATTATGTATTATGTTTTAAAAGAACAGTATAAGCATAATACTTAATCAAGAGGAGAAATATATGCATCACAAAATTGACCTTGATTTTGTCTCAATAAATGAAAAACAATACCCATACCATAATTCCCTTTTTTACCATTAAAAAGGATTGGCTGTGATCACTAGCCAATTATAAACAATCCCATTTAAATGAAAACAAAGATTTATAAACAAGATGGGAATTAGAACGTCGCTCATTCCAAACTGCTTCCTGCTGGAAGGGGGCGCTGTTCATACCATGGGGATCATGACAAAACTCAGAAACCTGTATAAGTCCGTATTTTCGGGGTCTGTAAAGCTGCATCATCTTAGCTGTCTCAATAGTTGGAACACCTAGTCCATTGCTTCCGGGGGTCTTGGTTCGTCAAACCACAAAAGCCTGGAAGGAATCCTCAGCTTTTCATTTTCTGTAGAAACATAAATAAAATCTCCTTTTCCGAGTAACATATCTTTATACTTAAATTTTGAAGTCAAGGCATTTTCAAAAGATATAAGTTGAATTAATTCAGCAGCATTTATAATTAAGAGTACTTTAGCATTTGTTCCTTCCTTAGCAATGAAAAAACTGAAAAACATAATAGCGTACAGTATCCAGACTCTCTGTGTATTTTCCATCTTTACGTGGCTTATTTATTTATCTATTATTACTTTATTTTTTCACTTTTATTTATTTTTCTCTGAGACAGGGTTTCTCTTTGGAAACCTGCCTGCCTCTGCCTCTGGAGCAATTCCTACCGGCGTGCACCACCAACGCCCGGCTTCTTTATTTTCTCTCTCAATCTTACGTATATTTTTAAACACACTGTAAACCTTTAGAGGTTTTTCTTTATCCAAGTCTGACTTTACTGTAAATCTTTACGTTTTTCTGGCCACGTGTCTTATCTGTAAAACCGCGGCTGTTTTAAACTGCCGGTTTTTCCGTCAAGATGGCGGGCATAAGCGTGATTCCAGCTTACCGCCTCAGTCCATGCTGACATCCAGCAAAAGCTGCCACTTCCAGCTGTACGTACACACCTTTCAATCGTTAGCAGAGTCTCTTAAAATAACCTTGCTGGCTGATTTTTTTTTTTTATGCCTAGTCAGGAAGACTCCAGTAAGCGAGCCGCGTGAATCTCGGCTTGTGGCTAGCAAAACAGAGCACACCTGAGAAAAATGCTGCTACCAAAAATCTGTGCTTCTCTCCGTTCTTCTGTTTCTAAAATTCCTTTAAAGCTTTTATTTTGCGTGGAAATTCATGATCCCACTTCTGACACCAAATTGTAGGCTTCAATGGACGCTGTAAAGATACTCTACACACAATTACTGAAAGTAAAGCTAAGTATTTAGTGTAGAAATTACTCACAAGATACCAAACCCAGAGGAGCCAAGCAGTTTTCAGCTGTCAAACCGGAAGCCGAACTCCAGGAAAAGAGACCGAGACTTCCTGTGTGCTGTCTTTTATGCCTTATCTTTATTTCTTCATATACCTCAGTCCCCATTCATTTAACTGAAGCTGGCTTTGGAGTTGGATTGGCTCTCCTACTCTAAACCCAAGCATATTATTTAAATACAATTCAGAATTTCTGTATTATATCAAAGAGCCATTGATATAAGACAGAAGAAATAAAATGAGGGACTGTTATCTATGGATTTCTTTTTCTGAACAGTCTAATTTCCTCCAGGTTTTCCATCTTCCCTATTGTCACCTCTTTTGTATGCATACATATGAAAGTTAAAATATTTCTTTGTTAACATTAATGTTTGAGTTTTCCAGAGAACAAGGGATTTCCTGACAGCAATCTTCAACTGCTTCTGAAAGAGAATGAGGATCCACTTCCTTGACTTCACCTGATTCAACTGGAGGCATCTGAACTGCCCCACATCACTGACAAGCACTATCCTGAAACTGGCTTGAAACTACATCACTCTACACAACTCTGGACCAAGAAACTGAAACAGCACATCTTCTACAATCTGACCAGAGCTTCAAGATAAGAGCTTCAATCAACACTAGAACCCCAGTCAGGAACTTCAATCAAGCATCTCCTGCCATACTGAGACTGTCTGATCTACTGAGATTTTGTTATACTAACATTTTCTTTTCACAGGTCCCCATGAGATTATCATCGTCCCATCTCAGCAGGAAGTAGTTTTGAGAATTCCACGCCCCCTCTCCCTACTATTGATATTATAAGATAGTTTACACCTGTTAGTGTTAGTTTTCAATTATTTTAGAGTTGGGATTGGAAGGAGGTGTTCATATTTGGGTGTTTCTTTCAGATAAGTTTAGGTAGATAGAATAGATGTTTGATACATTTTTGTTCATGGACACAAGTTAGTTGTCCTTTTTAGACTAAAAGGGGAATTGTAGGAGGAAGTCTGCATGCCGCCATTAAACATGTGACTTACTAGAGGCGCATACAGATGAGGTAATAAAAGGGCGGTTTACCACACCGCTAACCACACCCACTTTAGGCAGGACTAAAGACGTATACGACTGGGCGTAAAGATGTATACGTACGTAGGCGGAACTACGTCACAGGCCACTTTTGGGCATGGCTAGGGGGCGTTACGGGGGAAGGCATAAAAGACAGCACACAGGAAATCTCGGTCTCTTTTCCTGGAGTTCGGCTTCCGGTTTGACAGCTGAAAACTGCTTGGCTCCTCTGGGTTTGGTATCTTGTGAGTAATTTCTACATTAAGTACTTAGCTTTACTTTCAGTAATTGTGTGTCGCGTATCTTTACAGCGTCTATTGAAGCCTACAGTAAACCTGTGGGGAAGCATTCTCATTTAAACCACCATGGGTCCATCTCCCTTCTCCCTTGCAAACCTAACCCTGATACAATCTGGGTGACCCCAGGTGATGAACAGTGATCTGTTTAAGTAACCATGGAAACTCTATTGCAGGTCTATTCTCCAGAGATAGAATGTCATGGAGGACATGAAGGGTACAGGAAGAAACAGATAAGGCTTTGCCACCTCTTTCTCCTGCTTCCTGTCTCAGCCAAGATCCCCAGTAACTGTAGCCATCCTATGACCAGGAAGTAACTTCCTAGGGCACTGCACATAAGACAAGGCTTCTCCTGGCCTAAGTCACCTTCCTGTCCTCTGAGAGCAGGGAGGGACACTTTCTTCACTGTAGTACCCACGGAGCTTCTAGAACAGTCCCAGGAATGTTGCCACCACTCAGCAGTCCTCACAGTAAGTAATTATTTGCATTGCTTAGGTCACAGTTAGTTGGAAATCTAACTTGGAAGTAAACTTGCTCTCCACATTGTTTGTGGGGCCCTGGCTGCATAGCAAGACCTTGTCTCTCAAAAACAAAGAGGAAACCAAGACTAAGCCCATTGGTAGCAACTACCAGCAAATGAAGGTACAAGTTCAAGGCATTGCAATGGGAATGCTCCCACCTGCCCAGCCCATATCCCCTTCTGGAGAACAAACAAAGCCAGGTAGTATCCAGAGCCATCCGAGTCCCAGCCATGGCTGATGGGATCAAATACACTCAGCAATGCAAAGCTCAGCTCTTGCTCCCAAAGGAATAAGATAGAGTCTATTCTGAGCCAAATATGAGTGCCCACAGGCAGAGAACGCGGTTCAGATTGTCCAGAGTAACATGCTCCAGTGTGTAAAGGTTACATGTTTTTATAGTCACAGAACAGCAAAATCATAACCTGGAGCATCTACCAAATATATTGATGGGGACATCAAGTAGCTGGGTTACTGCAAAGAGAAGTCTCTGCCATTGGCTCTAGATGTTGTTTTATGACATTCTTAGTTTCTGGAAAACAGCAGTCTGTTAAGTGAATATAGTTCAAAAGGTTTTAATGATCATAAAGACAATAGTCAGAAATACAGATCAGCGGGGAAGGACTCGTGAGGAGACTAGTGATGGCCTAAGATAATTTTGCCTCTCAATCTGCAGCATTCTAACTCTCCACAATCAGGAAGCTCTAATCTGTCGATCAGTTTGTGGAATCTTCGGTACACATATGGGACACCCAAGCCCAGGGACTTTTAGTGCACATGCTCTTGCTTTCAAAGCTGGTTTCTTACAGATCTGGGTAAAAAGTCAGAACAACTCAGCTTCACCTTTGCCTCATCACCACACTTACATCCCTTTTCTTAGGGTCTCCTGACTTGGCCTTAGCCACCCCAAGGAGATATACACTGCGCATACAGACTTATGGGCCGTTGTCCGTGCCAGGACCCATATTCTTACATAGAGCTCACCAGGCTCCTTGCCATTCTGAAGCTGGTGACAATCAGAGGACAGCTGGCCCTGCCCTGCCCTGCTCTGGACCTTGATGACTGTTCCATTGTATGTATGAAGCACAGTTCTGGTGCCGGCATCAGTTCCATGGGCTGGCACTGGTGCTGTGTAATGATCCTGACACAGGAGCCCGAACACTTCTCCCACTGTGGGCCTGGGGTTGTGATTTCCTGTGGTCCTCGTTGCCTGGACCAGTGCTCATGGCCGCATGAATGACTCTCTGATGGTGAATGTGTGGGCTTCAGATGATGTCCTAGGGGGACAGGTGCTGTCTGCAGCCTTTCCTCCTGGTGCCCCTGAAGTCATAGCATCTCCCCCTTTGAGTCACAGCCTGCTCCACGTCCTCAGGGCTGAGATCTCCCCTGAGGCATTTTCTTGTTTTCCTCTTCTGGAGGAGAGGAGCAGAGCCAGAGAAGCACAGGCTGCAAAGTGAAGTGTGGCTCAGATTTGATAAACAGGCAGGAGATTTCACAGCAATCAGGAGAGAAAAGAACAGGCATTGGCCCTGAAATTCGCAATGCAGGCTGCAGGCTGCAGGCTGGAGGGGCTCTGCCTCCCACAACTGGATTAGGAAAGCCATCAGGGAAGATCACTGCCTGGTCCTGGTGCATTCCACCCCTGGAGGCTGCCTTGGCTGACTCCCTCCAACCCCCACAGGTAGGGGTACTCCCTGGGAAAGGGAGGTATGGATGAGGCCTCCAAATGTAGTTGGGTTACGGTGGGACTGCAGAAGGGCCATGTAGTACTTGATATTCATTTGGACCTCCCTGATGAAGAGCCCTGGCACCTGAAAATTCCTGAATCACAATTGTCACAGAAGTAACACCAGTCAAGTTCAGAGCAGACAGGATCTGGGAAGATGATTGACAGCTACTGAGCACACAGGGCTCATACATGCTCACTCACAATCATTGCACTCCCACATTTAGACCTTTATCCACCCGAAAATCAAGGTAAAACTTCAGAGCTGGGGATGTAACTCAGTTAGTAAAGTGCTTGTCTAGCACGCATTAGGTCTTGGGTTTGATCCCCAGCACCATAGAAAACCAGATGTCATGGGGCTTGCCTGTAATCCCAGCGCTCAGGATATGGACAGGAGGATCAGGCATTTAAAGTCATCCTCAATTCCATATTGAGTTTGAGGCCAGCCTGAACTATATGAGACCCTATCTCACAAAAACCAAAATGAATGACTACATTAATGTATATATAGATAAACTACAGCAAATAATCTCCACCCGTCCTTGATTTTCCAGGCAAAGTGTTGCTATATAGCTCAGGCTGGCCTGAAACTCAGGATCCTCCTCCTTCTCCTTCCTCCTAGGTTCTGCTGTTTGGCGGATGCAAGTCACTGTGGCCTACACACCCTGACATTCTTCCGGCTTTCCAAGAGTACTCACTCTTAGGAGATAAACTCTGGCTGGTTTGATCCCTGCTCTGAGGCCTCCCAGGGATCCCATATCCCTCGGTTTTCTTTTACCAGAGCATCTGCTTTCTGGAACAGCACTGCATATTTGTGTTGACTTGGCTTTTGTCTGCTAACTCTGTAGGCTCTGGAACATTGAAGACAACTATGACAACAGCAATGATAATAAAAATGATCATAATGATTATGATGATGATGAAGAGAAGGGGACAATCAGTGTGTACCAAAACTCATTCTGTACTGCCTAGTTTCATGTTAACTTGACGTAAGCTAGAGTCATTTAGGAAGAGGTACTCTCAATTAAGAAAATGCTCCCATCAGAGTAGCCTGTGGATAAGCCTGTAGGGTATTTTTTTGATTGATGATGGATGTGGGATGTACCAGCCCATTGTGGGTGGTGCTACCTCTGGGCTGGTGGTCCTGGGTTCTATAAGAAAAGAGACTGAATAAGCCACGAGGAACACGCCAGTAAGCATCGCCCCTCTATGACCACTGCATCAATCCTTTTCTGCCTTGAGTCTCTGCCCTGACTTCCCTGCATGATAGACTGCAAGCTACAAGATAAAATAACCCTTTCTTCCCCTAGTCGCTTCTGAATGCTGTGCTTTAAGCACATCTGTATGCAAATGCATTTAGCATTTATTTCCCTCCCAAATGGAACCACTGTTACCTCCTCCATTTTGCAGATGAACAACCTGAAAGCAGGGATGTTGATTTCTCCGTCCACTGCTGAACTCCAGTAGACAGACTTGGCTACATAACAACAGCATAAGTGCTATCAGAAAAGGGAGGAAAGGGACAGGGACTCTGGTTCACTCAGTTGGCTCTGCCCCTCTGCCCATCTCTCCCTCTGTACTTATATTGCAAAAGCCTGTGAAGAGTTTGTGTGTACATCAAGAGAAACTTGTTTTTGTCCCCAAGGAGAATAAAATTACAACCTAATATGCAAGGATAACCTATACATCAAAATTATGATAAAGTAAGGTTTAAAGTCTGTAATGAAAATATAAGGTAAAAAACCCTCACATGCTCTACTAATCTTAAATTCACCATTTAGGATGCATTCATGGTGCTGGAACTGGGATGCAGGGTGAGTGCTCTGTCTGGGTCAGATGAGGTCATGCCTGCCTCTCACCCTCAGTGTTGCAAAGGGGAGAAGGTTCCAGACTGACCTCCCACTGACTTCTGTAGGACTTACAGGGATTCGAACCTGTGCAAGAGAGGAGGTCTGTGAATGTCTTCTCTGACCTCTGGGCTAACTGTCCCATTTTTGTGTCCATGTGGTCTCCTCCCTCTGTGGTGCCTAGCAGGTAGCCCCAGGCTCCTGGCCTACTTGCTCATGCAATGGCTGTCTGCTGACACCATAGATCGCCTGCCCAAGAGCTCTGCTGTGTGATTGATGGGGTCGCTCTTGTTCTCAGTCCCAGAGAACACCTCTGAATAATAACTTGGCAAAATCATTCTCTTTTTCCGCTTCCCTATTTCTGACTCATTTGCTCTTTGTAAGTCATCCATCTCTTTTGAGTTAGAAGGAAGAGGAGGAGGTTGTAACAGAGGAACAGGGACCGTGAGTGCCACCTTCTCATTTTTCAGAGGTGAAATTAGAGTAGCTGTCATCAGCATTTCCAGTCTGGGGACATTAAAGTGGAGTGGACCTCTGCAAGCAGGTCAGATTTGCAAATGGAACCAGGTCTCTTGTTCTGGAACGAAAGTGGCTGTGGGAGGCGGGAGGCACGGGATGCGCGGGAGGCCCGGGAAGTGGAGGTCCATTCTTTCTGGAGCCCCTGAAGGAGCATCTGAAAGGGCTGCTGCCTACTCTGCATGTCACACTCTCCTGTCTGCTCCAAGTATGGTGGCATTTGTTACTCCGAATGGAGCACCAGAGAAGGTGGGAGATGCGGTTCCAGCCAGTCATAGCAGTTCCCTACGACTTCAAGTTCACAAAATTCCACAAGTGTTAGAGTTCTTTAGAAGGAGAGGGTTCTGGACAGAATGTGTGTTATAAAAGGCATTTGTTAATTGACTTCCATGATATGGGCAGAGCAGCTCAGTGCTAACTGTCCCCACACGGCAGAGGTTAAGAATCCAGTAGTTCCTCTATGCCTCAGCAGACCCAGTCTGGTCCTGAAGGCCTGGAGCATTCCTGGAGAGCCTCGGGGCTTCATCCCATATTGGCTGAAGAAGCTGGGTTTGATGGCAGCAAAGGGTGGTCGTGGCAACAGTGGGTTACACATACTCACCAACAAGGAGTGAACATAGGCAGGCAGTGATCTGTTAGCCTTGAACTTCTACCTGCTTGGGATCTCCACCCATCCTTGTTGTAGAATATTATTTTGAAGTAAGGATTTTTTTCAAAGATTTATTTATTATGTGTGCAGTGTTCTGTCTGCATGTGTCCCTGAAGGCCAGAAGAGGGCACCAGATCTCATTACAGATGGTTTGTGAGCCACCATGAGGTTGCTGGGAATTGAACTCAGGACCTCTGGAAGAGCAGTTAGTGCTCTTAACCTCTGAGCCATCTCTCCAACCCATAGAATATAATTTTAAGATGTATTATGTTCCATGCTGTGGAAAAGATGTGTTGCTCTGCAAAGCTGTGTTTGCCTGTCTAAAACACTTGATTGGTCTAATAAAGAGCTGAACAGTCAATAGCAAGGCAGAAGAAAGGATAGGCAGGACTAGCAGGGACAGAGAATGAATGGGAAGAGAAATCTGGGAGAGGATTGAGGAATGAGAAAAGAGGAAGAAGAGAGAACTTCAGGGGCCAACCACCCAGTTACACAGTAAGCCACAGATTAACAAGTGTAAGACAGGTATACAGAAACAGAGAAAGATAAAAGCCCAGAGGCAAAGATAAATGGGATAATTTAAGTTAAGCAAAACTTAAATTAGAAATAAGCCAAACTAAGGCCAAGTGTTTGTAAGAAAGAATAAGACTCCATGTGTGATTATTTTGGAGCTGAGTGGTGGGCCCCCAAAGATTAAAAAACAAAACACATCAGCTACACATCCTGGAAATACCCTACCACCACCACAGACCCACGAAGAGGCTTGCCCTCTTTAATTCCAGATCCAATCAGCTTGTCAATAGGAATTGGCTATCATGCTGTGCTGAGCCTCCTGCAAGTTCAGAAGGGAACTCCAGGCATACAGCTTTCAGGAGTCCTCACCCCTGCTGGGGTGGGCTTCTCTGTGATGCAGCTGCATTTGAGTCACCCACGGTCCCAGGAGTAACCCTGGTTCACTAAGGCAGGCTTGGGTGGGATGGTGTCTTTGGTTTGTTACCGGTGCCCTGTCTAGACTGAGTAGACATTTATTCACCTCTCTCCGGAAGGAATCTCCCAGAAGCAGTGGTATACTGCCTGTCACTGGAGATGGAAATGAACCATTTGTTTCCCTTGAACAGCCTTCAAGTTTAGACTAACTTATCTGTGTGTTTAAACAAAGCAAATTTGGATGATTCGGGAACTTTTTCTTTTACCAAGTCATTTAGGCCTGGTTAAGGCCTCTACTGGGTGGTGAATTTTGGAAGTCTGGAAGCTTCCCTGAGAGTCAAATCTCCTTCCCATCACCTCCTGCCATTCAGCTATAAAGGCAAGTCATAAAAAGTTACATCAACCTGTCCAGAGACTGGTGATGTATTTGTTTGGTACAGACTGTGGGTTTGTGCTGGGCTTGGTTTGCATCTACAACTTTCCCCCTACAACCACCCATGACTGCTGCAGGCTTTCCAGGTCAACTCAGGCTTTCATGGACCTCTCATTTTAATACTGAGGTCATTTAGGCCTGTCAGCCTTACATAATGAATAATGCCCCCATGTTTAGGCATTGAAGTTCCCCTTATACACTGGGTGACCCATCTCTTTGCCATTATCTGAAATAAGTTCACGTGAGCACTCAGGGATCTCCTGTCTCTGTGTGAAGTGTATTCACGTGTGTAGTTATGAGTGCCCATGTATATGTGTGTGGAGGCCAGCTGTCAAAGTCTAGCGTCTTCCTCTATGGCTCTCCACCTTATTATTGGTGATGGGGTCTCTCGATAAGTCTGGTTGGTCAATAAACTCCAGGGATTCTCTCTTCACAATCTCTGCTCCCCAGTGCACGGGGGACAAGTATACCCCATCATAGCAGCTTCTTACTCAGACACTCATGCTTACACACTGATAGCATTACCCACTGAACCATCTTCCTGGTACTAGTATTAAAGATCTTAGGTACAGGCATTACAGGCAATCTCTACATTTGTTTATTTTTTAATTACATAAACCATCAATGAGTACATGGATTTAAAATATCACGAGTAACACAACACACCTGGTTAATGTCTTTTGAAGATTTACTTTTACTTGTTTGTACATATGTTATTTTATATGTGTGTAACAAGAGTGTATGTGATGGTGCCCACAGAGGCCAGGAGAGGGCATAGTATCCCCTGCAGCTGGAGTTACAGGCTTCGTGAACCACTTGATGTGGGTGCTGAGAACCAAACTCTGGTCCTTTGGGAAAATGTCAAGTGCTCATAACTGCTGGGCATCTCTTCAGCCTCTCCCCCAGGATTTAGGGAGTGAAATCAGGGTGTGGGGAGATGGGGTACCCCTGGCAGCTGGCTGGAGCAGTCGTAATGTGTGAACTTGACCCAGGCTGCCAGATGCTCCACTGCACTGAGGGCTGGTGAGGAATGCCGGGAAAGGCCTGATCACTGGACCGGGCCCCTGTGGGTGAGAGAATCTCAACAGAGTGGGAAAGACAAGGAATGAGACGAGGATGAGAAAGGGGAGGGGAGGAGGGAGGGGAGGGGAGGAGGGAGGGGAGGGGAGGAGGGAGGGGAGGGAGGAGAAGGGAGGGGAGGAGAGGGGAGGAGGGAGGGGAGGGAAGGGGAGGAGGGAGGGGAGGGGAGGAGGGAGGGAGGAGAGGAGAGGGGAGGAGGGAGGGGAGGGAAGGAGGAAGGGGAGGGGAGGGGAAGGGAGGGCACGTGGAAGTCGGAGAACAGCTTGGAGGAGTCAGTTCTCTCCTTCCACCATCTGGGTCCCGGGGATGGCACTCAGATCATCAGAGTTGGTGACAAGTGCCATCTTGCCAACCTCTCATTTATCTTTCTGACTTGTGAATAGGTATGTCAGATAGTCTTTTTTAAACATAATGTTCTATTTGAGTTTCCTTTAAAAAATATGCCTTTATCACAAAAATCTCAAACTTTTTTGTAAGACAGAGTCTTGCATAGCCCAGTCTCCTGGCCTTGAACTCACTATGTAGCCAAGGCTGACCTTAAATTCATGGTCTTTCTGCCTCCATATCCAAGTGCTGGATTAAAGGTATGCCACTACATCTGACAAAAAGAAAGAAAGGAAGCCCTCAAACAAATGTACCCTCAAAGGATAGAAAGTTAAACAAATAACAAGCCCAAGCCCTCCCCTGCCTCCCTTGTTCCCACACAGCCTCCCAGAAAAGAGGGCAGATAGAGTCGCTATATAGTTCCTTTTCAAAACGGCACCCACATTTCCACACACACATTAATTCATTTACTCTGTAGATCATAAAACAAGGGATCAGAGAGGCCAAGCCACAGATCCAAGGTCCCACAGCAGACCAGAGGTGATGTCAGACCAGACTGCCAGAGACAGAGGCTGTCCTGCTGATGGGTGTCAGTGCCAGCCAGTTTCTGCTGCAGCTCCAGCCCCTCCCCCACCCTCAGTCTCGTCTACCAGGCCAGTGACACTTCTCAGTAAAGCTTGTGTCACCTCTCCTCCCACGAGTGTCCCCTGCCTCCCAGTGCATTAGCAGACGGTGCTTGTGTGGCTTTCTGGGGCTGACTCTACCTAATCATTTGTTTTTGCTAATGCCTGTTGTCTGTCAGAGCAGAATGGCTCTGGCACAGTCACTCAGGCCCCTGTGTTTGCACTCCTGTTCTCCAAATTCCTACTGACAATTTGATGCTCTTCATC